GTTCTAAATTTTTGATTGCTTTTGATTCCTTTGAGTGCTTTCTAAACAATCTTACAACTAAATGTGACGGCCTCTTTAACAAACACGCTTCCATCTGCATTTCAGATATGAAAACAAACCTTACAATCTGTTTGCAAATGTTGAGCCTTCAGAAGGGATCATTACAAACTGATATTTTGGAAAATATCTTGTTTGCACACAAGCTGCTGTTTTTCTACCAAGATTGGCATTTGTTCAAAGAAGATTTTAATGTGCAGAAATCCAAAACTGACCTGATTTTACAGTATGCCAAACATAACATTTGAGAATATTTCTGTTTTTAACTCAAGAGGAAGATCTGGATGATCTAGGGCTGCATTTAGTACAGCTAGTTCCTTCATGTAATACATGACATTTGTTATTTTTATCAGTACTTCTCCTTAACTTTAAATTGACAGTAATAAATGTTTAGGCTAGCTTGAATTGCTGCCTGCCTCATTGTTTTTGTCGCACCTTAACGTAAACCATTGGTGTGAACTGACCCAAAAGAAAACAAGGCTTTTTGCCTTGTCTGTGCATTGAGATTGCATTGACCAATGCAGCCCGGTGCATGTGGTGTGAATGAACCCTAAAGGGTTTGTGAAGGTAAAATATAAAACCTATAAATAGCCACTGCTAACTTCTCATATCTGTTTGCAGCTCAGTTACTTACCTCCTCCTACCTCTTTTTCCTGATTTGAGTGGGCGAAAGTATTAACCTTGGAGAAAGTCATGTTTAGTTGACGAAACGTGTCAGTGGTGGGGCCAGGTGACATCGCGCACAGCTGGAAACTGGAAGCAAGCTGTTTTCAAATATACTAATGCTGAGGATTCATCTTATGGGGGCACAACATGTATTAAAGGAGTGAATATTCTTTGTGTACTAGATTTAGTGCACATTACTTATGTTTCAGAAGCTATATTAATAAAAGTAGAAAGGTCTTTGGAGCATACTTCATTTTGAGAGCTGTTTTATTTGTTTGAGTAACTATTGTTGAAGGAGGGATTAACTGCATACGGATGAGTGAAGATTGGTACATATGGTGAAAACAAGGTTACCAGCCCTAATTAAAGGGCAAGGCACAAATAGACCTTACTTCATAGTGGGTCAAGCACATACAGTGCATCCAGAAAGTATTCACAGCGTTTGCCACATTTTGTTATGTTACAGCCTTATTCCAAAATGGATTAAATTCATTTTTTCCTCAACATTCTACAAACAATACCCCATACTGACAACATAAAAGAAGTTAGTTTTGAAATCTTTGCAATTTATTAAAAAAAAAAAAAAAAATGTATTTAAGTATTCACAGCCTTTGCTCAATATTTTGTTGAAGCACCTTTAGCACCAATTATAGTCTCAAGTTGTTTTGAGTATGATGCTACAAGCTTGGCACACCTATTTTTGGGCAATTTCTCCCATTCTTCTTTGCAGTGCCTCTCAAGCTCCATCAGGTTGGATGAGGAGCGTCGGTGCACAGCCGTTTTTAGATATCTCCAGAGATGTACAATCAGGTTCAAGTCTGGACTCTGGCTGGGCCACTCCAGGTCATTCATAAAGTTGGCCCGTAGCCACTCCTTTGTTATGTGGGCTGTGTGCTTAGGGCCATTGTCCTGTTGAAAGATGATCCGTCGCCCCAGTCTAAGGTCCAGAGTGCTCTGGAACAGGTTTTCATCAAGGATGTTTCTATACATAGCTGCATTCATCTTTCATTAAATCCTGACTAGTCTCCCGGTTCCTGTCACTGAAAAACATCCCCACAGCATGATACTGCCACTACCATGCTTCACTGTAGGGATAACATTGGCCAGGTGGTGAGCAGTACCTGGTTTCCTCCAGACATGACGCTTGGCATTCAGGCCATAAGTTCAATCTGTTTCATCAGACCAGAGAATTTTGTTTCTCATGGTCTGAGAGTCCCTCAGGTGCCTTTTGGCAAACTCTAGGCAGGCTGCCATTTGCCTTTTAATGAGGTGTGGCTTCCATCTGGCCACTCTATCATACAGGCCTGATTGGTGGAGTGCTGCAGAGATTGTTGTTCTTCTTGAAGGTTCTCCTCTCTCCACAGAGAAACGCTGGATCTCTTTCAGAGTGACCATCGGGTGCTTGGTTACCCCCCTAGCTAATGCCATTTTCCCTTGATTGCTCATTTTGGCCAGGCGGCCTGCTCTAGGAAGATTTCTGGTGGTTCTAAATTTCTTCCATTTATGGATGATGGGGGCCAGTGTGCTCATTGCTGCAGAAATTTTTCTGTACCCTTCCCTAGATCTGTGCCTTGATACAATCCTGTCTTGGAGGTCTACGGACAATTCCCATGACTTCATGGCTTGGTTTGTGCCCTGGCATGCACTGTTAACTGTGGGACCTTATATAGACAGGTTTATGCATTTCCGAATTATGGAAAGTTCAAACAACCAAATTTCCCACAGATGGACTCCAATCAAGTTGTAGAAACATCTCAAGGATGATCAGTGGGAACAGGATGCACCAGAGCTCAATTTTGAGTGTCATGGCAAAGGCTGTGAATACTTATGTACATGTGGTTTTTTCGCTTTTTATTTTTAATAAATTGCAAAGATTTCAAAGCAAACTTCTTTCCCATTGTCATTATGGGGTATTGTTTGTAGAATGTTGAGGGAAAAAATGAATTTAATCCATTTTGGAATAAGGCTGTAACATAACAAAATGTGGCAAAAGTTAAGCGCTGTGAATACTTTCTGGATGCACTGTAGGTTAACAGTTTGTTTGGATGGTGGCAGAGCACTTCACTGGTTGTGAATACAGTAACAATTTAACACATATATGAATTTGAAGGAGAAGGACTTTGTTGCAATATAAGTCGTGATTAATATGCTGAAGACACATTTTGGTGACATATAGACATTGATTTATTTAATTTGTGCGTGGAAATTTAAAATCATGATTTTTTTGTGCATATATGAATGCAGATAAGAAGATACACATTTATTAATTGGTTAATTAACACCCTCAGAGGAAGTTATAATAATGGAATGCGTCAGTGAGTGACCATATGTGACGTCAGCACATTCACCGGATGTGATGTTGCCTCTCTCCTACCGGGAAGTGGAACAGTGGGTTGTGCACAGAAGTGTGGTGAGATGCTAGCGGTTCATTTAATCCGGAGTTCATTGCTCCACTACATTTGTACATTGTATTTATCTAGATGTGAGTATTTGTCAGGGCTCCCGGGTATGACCAGAGGTGTGTGACTGACGCAGGGAAACGCAGACTTCAGATATGTTATAAACAATGTAATTTATTAACACTAACCATACAAACATAAACGCAGTGCAATACTAAAACATAACACAGTGCAAACAAACCAACCAACCACCCACAGATAACAGTACATACAATGCAAGCGTCGTCAGGCAGGCCGGGTCAATATCAGTCGGGCAGGTAGGTACAGGGGGAGCAAGCGGAGAATGGTCGGGGTCACAGGCCAGGTTCAGCAGGTAGCGGGCAGCGTGGTACAGAGGGTCAGGCAGAGGAGAATGGTCAGACAAGCCAGGGATCAGAGCAGGGTCAGCAGAGAATCAGACAGGAACAGAGAGCAGGAACAGGATACAGGGCCCAAGAGAGACACAACACCAAGGCAGAGTCTGCAGGTCTGAATGTCCCTTAAATACACCAGTATAATTAGTTCCAGGTGTTTGACTGGCTGCAAGGTTGAGTCTCTGATTGCTGGGAGCACCCGCTGGCCAGCCCTGGTACTGCAGCTCATAAGGCAGCTGAGTCCCACTATTGCTGGCCAGTCCATTCCTGACAGTATTACTATATGGGAGTTATTGGCAATAAAATCTTTAAACGGAATTATGCTATGTGGTGCGTTTGTGCTTTATATGTATGCACTAGATCTATTGGATCTTTCTGAGCAGGTGTGATTGTGGGTCCAAGAAGAGGATATTTTATTGTGCCTATTTTATACCATGCTCTGGTGAGTGTTTAATCTGATGGGGTGATTGTCACCTAAAGAGCACGTAGGTGCTGGAGTGCATCTTTGAGCTACAAAGACTTTCCCTATAAGAGATCTATATGGTGGACTTGACTCTTATGTCACTCTGCTACACCTTGATGGAAGATTTTTTTCATTTAACATTCTTTTTTTTATGTTTTATTATTTATGCTTGTTTCTATGGAGTGAAGCGCTGTTTTTATGAGGTTTGTTTTTTGTTCATAATTTTATTTAATTTATTAATTGGTTTGTTGATTAATGATATGTATATACATTTGGTTGATGCAGTAACACATGACAGTGATCTAGCACCAACACTTAATGTTTTTTTTTTTTATATATATTGGTAGCACAGAGGAAATTTTGCATTTGTTTAAAAACTTTACACGGACAGCATACAATAAGCACCCAAGCACATTGCTCTGGCAGGCAGGATAGACAGGGCAGCGTTCTGCAATTTTTTATTGTACATGAGAATCAATTACTCCTAGTCAGTAGCATGATGTCACCTTAGGCATCCCTATTGCCCTAGGCCAGTGGTGGCGAACCTACGGCATGCGTGCTGCAGTTGGCACGCAGAGCCCTCTCTGTCAGCACGGCAGCTACATTGTCACAGCATCACCCCAGCAGCTGAGCATCGGATAGCAGTGCACATAGTTGCCATGCACATGCTTGGAAAGGAGTAGCAGCGCCAGGCGATGACGTCATGAACCACGACTCAGTAGCCGCGACTCTTTCAAGCTTTTGCATAGCCAGTCAGTGTGCTGCCAAGGATATATATATTGGACTGGCTGTGAGTTTTAATACATTTGTTTTTAGAAACACAAGATTTTACTTGTGCTGGTGGTCAGTGGAACTATGCCCCCTCTTGTGCTGGTGGCCAGTGGAACTTTGCCCCTAGTGCTGGTGGCCAATGAAACTTTGCCCCCTTGTGCTGGTGGTCAGTGGAACTTTGCCCCTTGTGCTGGTGGTCAGTAGAACTTTGCCCCCTTGTGCCGGTGGTCAGTGGAATTTTGCCCCCTTATGCTGGTGATCAGTGGAACTTTGCCCCCTTGTGCTGGTGGTCAGTGGAACTTTGCCCCCTTGTGCTGGTGGTCAGTAGAACTTTGCCCCCTTGTGCCAGTGGTCAGTGGAATTTTGCCCCCTTATGCCGGTGATCAGTGGAACTTTGCCCCCTTGTTCTGGTGGTCAGTGGAACTTTGCCCCCTTGTGCCGGTGGTCAGTGGAATTTTGCCCCCATATGCTGGTGGTCAGTGGAACTTTGCCCCCTTGTTCAGGTGGTCAGTGGAACTTTGCCCCCTTGCGCTGGTGGTCAGTGGAACTTTGCCCCCTTGCGCTGGTGGTCAGTGGAACTTTGCCCCCTTGTGCTGGTAGCCAGTGGAACTTTGCCACCTTGCGCTGGTGGTCAGTGGAACATTGCCCCCTTGAACTGGTGGTCAGTGGAACTTTGCCCCCTTGTGCTGGTAGCCAGTGGAACTTTGCCACCTTGCGCTGGTGGTCAGTGAAACATTGCCCCCTTGCGCTGTTGGTTAGTAGAACATTGCCCCCTTGCACTGATGGTCAGTGGCACATTGCCCCCTTGCACTGGTGGTCAGTAGAACATTGCCCCCTTGCACTGGTGGTCAACAAATTCAGGTTTAATTGCAGTACTGGCACTTTGCAATAAATAAGTGGGTTTTGGGTTGCAGTTTGGGCACTCGGTCTCTAAAAGGTTTGCCATCACTGCCCTAGGCCATGGCCTATGCTGGTTGTGCAGAAATCTGACTCTGGCCACATTTACGTTTACTTTTGTTCTATATAGTACTTCTTGAATTTCTTTAGTCACCCATGCTATAGACCAGCGTTTTTCAACCACTGTGCCGCGGCACACTAGTGTGCCGTGAGATATTGTCTGGTGTGCCGTGGGAAAAATTGCAATTTCATCCGTAACATGTGGCCTCGGCTCACAAATAGACCAATCATTAGAACAGCAATAGGCAAACTACGGCCCGTGGGCCGTATACGGCCCGGCGGACCTTTTAATCCGGCCCGCGGAGCGTGATACTGTCAGGATGATCTGTCCCCCTTGACGTATCTGCGCATGTGCCGGAGATCGCCGATCGGCTGCTAATGCCTGAAACTGGCACATGCGCAGATACGTCGAGGGGGACAGATCCTCATAGGAGACAGATTTTCATGCTACACCGGAACGGCGAGAGGAACGCGCGGAGCAAAGGTAAGTGAATTGACACGGGGGGGCTTGGGGACTTAATATGGGGGATGAATTTATATGGGGGATGAATTACTATGGGGGATGAATTACTATGGGGGATGAATTACTATATGGGGGATGAATTACTATATGGGGGATGAATTACTATGGGGGATGAATTACTATAGGGGGGATGAATTACTATGGGGGATGAATTACTATATGGGGGATGAATTACTATGGGGGATGAATTACTATATGGGGGATGAATTACTATAGGGGGGATGAATTACTATGGGGGATGAATTACTATATGGGGGATGAATTACTATATGGGGGATGAATTACTATAGGGGGGATGAATTACTATATGGGGGGTGAATTACTATGGGGGATGAATTACTATGGGGGATTAATTACTATATGAGGGATGAATTACTATGGGGGATGAATTACTATATGGGGGATGAAATACTATGGGGGATGAATTACTATAAGGGAGAATTACTGTGGGGGATGAATTACTATATGGGGGATGAATTACTATGGGGGATGAATTACTATATGGGGGATTAATTACTATGCTTACTATGGGGGAATATTACTATACTTACTATGGATGACACATACACATCATTCATCTACTCTTGGTCCGGCCCCCGGGTCTAAAATAATTTCTTTGTGTTTGATTCCTATTCAAGAGAATTACTTTATATATAGTCAAAATAGGCACAGAGGTAAATTTTTTTAACATTTTCTAATGGTGGTGTGCCTCGTGATTTTTTTCATGAAAAAAGTGTGCCTTTGCACAAAAAAGGTTGAAAAACACTGCTATAGACAGTATGCTGGAGAAAAGGTATTTCAATGTTCCCCACATATGTTTTGAAATAGTTTCCCTTCTGAAAAAAACAGTTCAATTAGACAACAAATGAGCAGAACTTGGTAATAAATGCTTTGTTTGTTATATTTTGTTCACACACATGAAAGTTCCTCTATTACATGTGAGGGATGGGTCACATTCCACTATTCATTTAAATGTTCTTAACTCTGGTCATCCCTGTCTCATGGGATCAAGCAACACTATTTATAACTTTTGCCATTTCAAACCTGTTCCAACAACATGATTTACACTCCACTTTTTTATTTTATATATTTCAGCCTTGCTTTCACATAAATGAAATGACATGTAGACCTTTTCAGTAACACAATACGGGAAGTAATATGAGCAATTTGATTCAGTGGCTATGTCAGCAAATTCATGTCAGCATTTTCCTGAACGTTATGATGGAGGCACCTCCGAGCAGTGAGTGGCAATACTGCGCCGTCCTATTTCTCGATGCATTTGGTTGGAAACTCAGGCAGAAATAAAGTGTGTCAGCAAGGTACGAAATAGATCAGCAGAGAATTTAGCAGATGCAATTGCCTTTTTTGGAGGCTGCGACATTTACTTAGAACAGGCAATTTAAAACCCAATGGAACTGAAAGACAGATGCTGAGGGATTCACTTGACCTGTGAAACACAATTTCCAATAGGCATAACTCACCGGCACAGGTGCTAGAGCTCTCAGTCCATTTGTAATAAAGAATCAAAGCTCACATTGACCTTTTATTCTTACTACCAGAGCACAGTGATTATAGCATGCTAATAAAATAAAGTTTTTTTCCCACTTATTCCTAATTGTGCTGTTTAACATTACATATGGCTTTATTTAGCTTGGATTAGCCTTCTTAATATAGGAGTTACAACCTTCAAAGGTGCAATCAAGCCTTAAAAGTCAGAAGGGGTGCAGAAAAGCATAGGGTTACCATCATAGCAGCCCTCATTGTTGCTATTAAGCTTTTTCTGCCTCTTAGAGCTTAAAGTACTGTAGCTCTTACCCCGGCAGGTGCTGCTTGGTATGATTAGTCCTCTGTTTCCTGCCAGAACTCTGTAAACTGATTCATCCATTCTGACACACCTGGTTATAACAGTGTGCTGTGAGGACCTATGTTAGCTCAGGTATTAGACTGCTACCCACAACTCTTGAAAATAAACACCAGACTACACCAGACTAATAGACTGTAGATAAAGTAAGTACAGTATAGTGTATAGCATCACACCAGCATTGATGAACAGGAAAAGATTCCATTAAACGTCACTAAAGTATCTGACATGAATACTAGGCTAGGATATTGCAGTTAACCTGGACCACAATAATACTGAGCCAAGTGAGCCAGATAAACACAGCATTAATAAAAAGTATACAGTGCATTTTATATATATACCCCTAGACGTAGGTATATGTAGGCTTTCCTGAGTGGGGTACTCTTTGGGCAGTGTTTCTATAGTACTTGGTCCCAAATTTGCAGATACCATTGGGGCCCGTCTGTATGGTGGTGCACCTATTACAAAACAAACACAACTGAATCTACTCACAGTCCTGATACACCGCAAACCATGTCCTCGACACTTAGCAGTCTGCTGTCCTCAGGACAGTTGGCAACTCAATTCTCATGATCAGGACCTTTAGGCTCAGCTCTGGCTCTTTGATCTTTGATAGGTCGTTTTGGGGTTACGAGAGACACACACACGCAACAGGTTGGTATTGCTCTAGTCCCCAGCAGCAAGAAACTCTAGTGCCTCAGTCTCAGCGCACAGCACCCGGCTCACAGCTCTCTCCAACTCTGGTCCCTGCACACCAGCCCTTCTCAGGAAAACAGGTCTGTACAGCTCTGCCTCCTCTCTGAAAAGGCCCACATTTCTCTTTGAAAGCCTGGGAAGAACTCCTCTCCTATGTTTGCAATGCTTTGCAAGAGCTGTAGTTCACAGTTCCATTCATCTCCATAGTACAGCGCCCCTAGCAAACTACATATCCTAGTGTTTATTAAGACATCCTTCAGGAAGCAGGGAAGACAAATGCTGCATCAACAAGTCCCCCTTCCCCTCTGGGCATGAATTCCATCTGCAGACACTCTGGGCAGCAAGCGGGGAAGGGACTGCAAGCACAGAGACCTGTCATGGGAGCTATATGAGTGTGTTGCTCGCTTCTCAAAATACTAGAGTCCTGATTCTGTCTGGATTCAATACTATTCACACAGAATAGAGACAGAAAAGGATGACATATTTATTACTATACATGTTCCAGGATAGCAATTAAAAGCAATGAAGCAAAATCATGAATATAGTGTTCTGAATGGGCAGTCATCTGTGGCAGTCTAATTTGCTTATGACAAGTTTCCTTCAACCAGGAAGAATCTGTGATACTGTGTAAACCAAAATGATTGTCTGCAGCTTATAAGGAATGAAGTCTCATACCTTTGTATCACTTTATAATACTATATTTGCATGCTATATTTGTGACTAATCTTTATTTGGAAATGCCTTAAAATACCTTTCTTGGTCAGTATAAATGTTGTTTCTGCCCTCTCACAACAGTGCTTTATGCTGGAAGTGCTTGGTATCATCCACACTCCTCATTACAAATACTCTCACACAAGTATGTGTTGCAGAGAATAGTTACAGTGGTTGTAAACCCTTAAATATACTCAGTGAAGTGACTAGCCTTATATGATACACAGAGATAAAACAAATCCTCCTACACAACTTGTACTCTTTTATCCTCAGTATTTTCTTCTCTACAGCCATTCAAAGTACCAAATTTACACAGCTTGTCTGAGTTTTCAGAAAGCAGGGGGCAGAGAGCTGAAGTTACACTCTGCAGAACTCAATGAGGGGAACTCTGAGAGTGGATTGGACACTGCCTTCACACAGCATAAAGGAACAGAACTGAGGCTGTCGATCACAAAGAGTGTGCTGACTGTCCCTCCCCTGTCCCCTTTTTTCTTTTGGTGTTAGGAAAATCTTTCAGAAGTGACTTCTTTTTCGTATTGCAGAGGATGATGGCTGCAGACAGAAATGACACATTGTACTTTGGAGTGAGACATGCACAAACTATAGAGGGATATGCTTTGTTCATATTTCATGTCAGATGTTTACAGCCACTTTACGACCCAACAGTTTCTTTTTCTTTTTTTTGGAGGTTTGTTTTTTCCTTTACTTACTGTCTCATTGACATAACAGGGAGTAATAGGAAGTTTCTCCAAAATGAGGGGAAATTCTAAACTAGTTGCCAGCAGAATAGTTTTACACATTGGAATAAACATATATAGCAATGAGAAGCACAAACTAGAAGCATGTATTCACCTAGTGTACTAAAAGACTATAATTACTAGACTAGACTTGCTCCAGTAAAGCAACACATTGCACTCACTGGTAGGTAGCACCTTGGGGTGGCTACTATAAGGCCATGGCATTACAGAGGATTTTGAATTGGCACCACCACATTAAGGATAAACTTTTGAATCTTCTGGAGAAGTGCTTGGCCGGATGTAACTTGTCCCATGCTCCATGGCTACCCTGCTGTTTCTGCCTCTCCCATCGCCACCCATGCCCTGACTCTTTGGGATGTACTAAATAGACATGGCCAATT